AAGAATTATACCCAAATTAATTGATTAATCAATTAGTCTTACCAGCTCTGAACTTGTACATGTCTTCTAAGGCCTTAAGCAGATCTGGATACCCCTTATAGATCTTCAGGTCAATCTTTCTTAGGTAAGGAGCTCCATCCACGCTAACTTTCACATAGATCCCAAATGCTTGATCAGCCTCACTTTTCTTTGGTTGTAGGCAATTTTTCCGATATGATCTGATAGGTGGCCACCCGACTACTTGTGCCCTGTTACATTACAAATCCATCAACCCATTAATGAAATCTTGATCTAGTGATTAATTAAAATCGAGGTTTAGGAAAATTCTAAAATTTAAATTTTCCCCGTCGGCAAAACAAATGTGTAATCGTTCCAAATAAAAATTAAACATGAATTTGAAAAAAGAACTATGTAAATTTAAACAGGGGCTTGGTTCCTCACTTGGTGGGTGGACCAGATTCTTGGTCAATTTTCTTGGCATTTGTTGAATTAGAATTTTCCCTACCCAAAGATTCTTCACTCATATCAGGCAATGCTCTTTTGTTGCTCCTACCACCAGCTGAAGTTTGCTTCTGATGATCTGAATTCTCCTCAGACGTGCCCGGTAGGCCTAGCCGGAGCTCAGTGGCCTCGAGATTAATATCTCTCTGCTCATGAAATGCCATACCTTCTTCTATCTTAGATGGCTAAATTTTTCTTGGAAAGATATCTAAATGAGGACTAGATGTACATTGAGATGATGAAATGAAGCTGAGAATTCTTCTTTGGATGATTCCTTGAACTTGATCAGCGGTTCCTGGGGGAGAAGAAAAGGCGCGTATGTTAGCTTGAGAAAAATCGAAGGTGTTTTATAGATGTAATATGGGGATAAAGGGAATGGACAAGAAGTCAGGAACGCGTGGATTGCACAGTAGAAAATGTTACTTATATGTACAGTATTTTAATATAATAATTATTATATATTTTAACAAAGTGAAAATTGGATACGTTTCTCTAAAATTTGGAAATAATTATTTTTTTTTTGTAAAGAAATAATTATTTCTATTTTATAAGCACATAAGATAGCTTACTCGCATTTTGAACACATTGACCAAATAACATAATATAGACTCACAGTACAAATTAATAACTAAATGAAAGTACAAATCAACAAAAAGAAAACCAATGTAAAGGTTTTTTTTTTTTTTTTGAAGAAAAAAAATCTTTAAACTATTAATCGAGGTACTGCAAGGGATATGCAGAGTATAAATGACTCTCTAAATCTTTATGGAGACTCATAAAGGACTATTAGGTTTTTTTTTTTCCCTTTTTGAATAGGAAGGATATTAGTATGTTATGGTATTATAATAAACTTATCCATGAGCAGATGAATGAGTTGGTAAGGAGTCTTTCAATTTAACCAGAGATTTTAGTTTTAAACGTTGAGAATACAATTTCATTAAAACTCGTGAAAATGAGTTTTACCATCCGTTAGATTTATCCGGTTCAAACTCGAATTAATCGATGATTCAGTGAATTGTTGGATACCAGGATCTATACAAAAAAAAAAAAAATTGATAAATAATTTGAGTTAATCCAAAAAACATTGAATCACTATACAGCCCATCTAATTAAATTAAACCTAAGTGATACTGATTTGTGAGGTAACAACCCCACCACAACTTCTTCACCAAATAGAATTG